GAGCTCCCGGCACACCACCCTCGGCCTCCTGCACCGGGCCCGGCTGCACATCCAGGTGAGGGCCCCTCCCCCGTCCCGAGCGGTCAGGAGCGGGAGGCCCGGGGAGCAGGGAGGGTCTAACTGAGCCTCTGCCGCGGCCCGAAGAAGCTGGAGGAGCAGGAGCGGGGAGCCCAGAGGCTGAAGGACCGCCTGCAGCGCAAGCAGAGGAGCCTGCGGCAGCGGCTGGAGCAGCTGGTGCCAGGTGCTGGCGGGGAGCGCACAAGGGCCAACAGCCTGGACTCCTCTGTGCGCTCCGACTCCGACCACGGTCAGTGGCAGCGGGCCCCAGCCCCCCCCCAGGCTGACACTTACCCCAGCACCTGGGCCCCTGGGGGGGGCGGTCTGAGCAGGGCAAGCCCCACCCCCGCACTCCTGGCAGGACTTGTCAAGACTTTGCCTCCCCTCATAGAGGATGCAGAGATCGACGTGGAAATGACCGTGTTCAACAGCAGCGAGGGGGACGTGCTGGCCCGCTTCAGTGCTGGCAGGGAGCACAGCTACTCCAGCACCCATCGCACATGGCTATGACGGCACCCAACCAGGCTGCCACAGCCTGAGCCCAAGGAACCCTGATCCAGATGTGCACGCAGCTCCCAGCTTCCTCACCTACTACCCTGCTAAGCCCATCCCCGTGGCAGCTGAGCCCGTGGGCCCGGGAGGAGCCCTGAAGACCTATCAGATGCTTTCCCTGGAGCAGCGTGGGCCCCCCCTGCACATGCCCCGCCACCCAGGCAATGTGGTGGGAGGAACCTGCCCCTGCTTTCAACCACTGCCAGCCGCCAGGACTCAGCTGCACGGCTCTGACAGCCACAGTGCACTGAGGGGAAGAAAGTGGGGGCTCCTGCTCTGGGTGGCAGGAACTGGAACCGCTTCAGAAAATGCTGCCCTGCAAGCAGGCAGGCAGCAGCGATGCCCCACGCCCTGTCAGGCCTCCTCTGCTCACACAGGGCCAAGCGCCAGCAGGGGTGGTGGGCACCCGAGCACCTCCCTTCTGTGGCCAGGACACTGCTGAATGCAACAAGAACAGGGAGCCAAAGCCAGCATCTCCTGGAGAGCTGCACCTGCTATCACACCCCCAGCCCTCACCCCTGGGATTGGGACTTGGCCTCCTGTTTCCAGCAGCCCACACCCTCTCTAGCTTGCTGGTGTCGGACCCTGGCCCTGGGTGACACGCAGACCTGTGCTGCCAGGTGGGCCCAGCCAAAATAAGTCCCAGGGAGTTGAATGTTTAATGATAATTACATCTCAGGAAGGTGCTCTCCACCACTGATTGTCAGACTTGTACAGCATTGATTAAAAAATATAAAATCTACAGAGGTCATGTATGGGGGGAGGGGCTAGTGGAGCTGCGCTCACACGTACTGCTTCTTGGTGGCTGCCTTGCTGGCCAGGTCCTTGGCTTTCTCCGTAGCTGCTAAGGCGGTCTCCTTGGCCTTCTCTGTTGCCTGCTTTGCGGTCTCCACCAGTGTTTTGGATGGAGCTTCCCCTGCAATGAGTCAGTGACCTGTAACACGCTATGGGCCCAGGTGCCTCTGCACTGGGAGGGCTGAGTAACTCCCTGCCCTGACAGTGCAGGTTTCACCACCCAGGCCAGCAGAGCTGGTGTTGCAGCAGGCAAGTGCCAGGGTGTGAGACAAGGGCAGCAGCAATCCACATGCCCAGCTGGTAACAGCCCCGCCTGCACACACACCTTGGATCCTAGCCAGCGCGTACTCGAAGCCCTTGGTGCTCTTGGTCACGTTGCTCTTGAACCTGGCGAGGCCAAACTCCTGCAACAGGAGATGCTGTGAAGCTGCAGCTCGGACCCAGTGGTCCCAGCAGCAGATCAGCTGTCCAAGTGCTTCTTCCCCCTCCCACCAGGGCTGTCTAGGTGGCATGCCAGGCTTGGGGGGGGGCACACCAGGCACCAGAAGCAACTGGGACACAGCCCTGCCGGGCATGGGGGACCCTGGGAACACTGACCTGGACAGCCCGGGAGATGCCAAAAAGGCTGGAGGAAATCCAGGCTTCCCGCTGCACCTCCGTCCAGCCGCTGTTCTCCGGGTTCACGCGGTAAACGCAGCGCTCTTCCACCACCTGCCAGGGAGGGAGAGGACAGCGTGGCGTGAGCCCTGCCCGTGGCTCCAGCCCCATCTTGAGGGTGGGAGCCCTTCCTTCCCCAGGCAGACACCCCTGGTCCCACCCGGCCACCCACCATCAGGCGCGCGTGGTTGATGTTCCAGGTGAAGGTGGTCATGGTCCGGTTCTGGGGGTCCACGATAGAGTCCTCCAGGATGTACACCGAGTGCGCCACGTTGGCGGGGAAGAAGCGCTCAGCCCAGCGCGGCATCCTGTTGGTCTTGGTCAGGAGCCGCCGGGAGAGCAGCTTCTGGTCCGGCGTCACCTCCCGGTGCACGATGTCCTCGGTCAGCACGTGCTTGCTGCAGGGGCAGGGGGCATCAGGGGGGCCCGGCCCACCCCAGCCCCAGCGCCC